AAATTAAATAATAAAATGAAAGTCTTTTGAAAAAGATGTTTAGGAATTTTGGACTCATAGTCCTCCTTGATCCTTTAGTTTTATTTGTTAGAAAGAAATAATGACCGATAGTATTGTATTTATTTTAACTTCTTAATGTTCATACTTTTCACTTACAATTCTTATTATGTTAAATTTAGAGTTTCAAACTAAAAAATCATCTATAAAATAAACAAAAACTATGACTCCAAAATTATTAATAGAAAAGCAAAATGAAAGCTAAAAAAATCAAAATTTGAAGTTGTATGTACTCATTGTTACCTAATAGTGTGAGGAAGCAAAAAAGTTATTGCACTGCGAGTGTGATATGTATTTGGTTTAGAATTTGCTATTTACAGATTATGTATGTGATTTCATTTATTTTTATTTTTCTATTTTATTATTTTTATTTTTAAAAATTATTGTTGATATATAGATATTAAGTATAATAAGTATATATAAAATTTCAATTATATAAATACAAGTAACATGTCAATTAAATAAAATAGTTAAACAAATTGGGTAAACAATTTTAAACCTTTTATATTTGTTATTTGACTTAATATTTATAGACATACTATTTTTATACTCATTACTTACTTAATTTTTTTCAATTCAAGTAAAATATTTATCCAGATAAATAAAATACTTATAACTAATGGGTATACCCATAATCAATATTGACCCTTAGGTTAGAAGGGCTATTTTTCAACAAATTTGTTCAAAATGGACCATCAAACTAATCCTCAATTTAAGGAGATCAAACACGGTAATTTCAAGGTTACTAAGAGAGTTTGGATTCGAATAAATTGCTTTCATAACCTTGCTACATTTTTCATGCCTTCTTTTTATTCTTATGAAGGATAATTGTTCAAATTTGCTCTTGCCAAGCATGGTAGTTGGCAAATGAACCATAACCGAATAAACCTTTGAATGTGGGTACAAGAGGATAACACGTTCGACAGATACTCTATTCGGTACGGTCCTACATGCCTTGTTCTATCATTGAGAATTCTACTTGAATTATTAGTTGGAATATATATGGGTTAAATCGTGGCCTAGCTCAATCAATTTCCCCACTTAATATCTATCATGTACTAAACCAAACAATAGCCATAATCAATTATATATTGCTTGAAACAACATATAATCACAAAATTTTTATACAATTATTGAGAACTGCAAAAAAATATCTCAATTGCAACATCTTCTTTCATCGTAAACAATTGTAACAGAGGGTATCATAATAGATAATTTTTTTTTTTTTGTAATGTAGTTACACGAACTTTTAAATAAAATCACATTTGAATAAGAATGTATTTAAATTCACAACAATTTTTTTTTTACAAAAAATTATTAGTTTATACTCAATTTGAAATACTTTTCAATATTTGTTCAATTCAATCATGAAAAATAAAATATAAATATAATTTATTTATTTGTTTTCTATATTCAGTGCACATAATTACATTTTTAAATTTATTTATATTTAATTTTATATTGAAAACAATAATTGTTTATTTAATATATTATACAATGTATTATATTAAAATATATATTAATCAATATTTTTTTTTACCACTTCACAATAAAACTTACTATATTTTAGCCTTAAGCTTGTGTAACTAAGTGGAGAAAAAAAAAAGTATTAAAGATATCTCAAATTTCTTCATCCCAATATAATATATATAAAGAAAAAGGGAATCCATCCTAAAAAAAAAAAAAAAAAAAAAAAGAACCCTAATTTTGTCCTAAACTATTACAGGATCTCTAATTTGGTCTCTAAATTAAAAAATTTTTGATTTGTTCCTTAAACTATTATAGGATCTTCGATTTGATCCATACTATTTACTGATTTAGTCTTAAGTTGATCGTTTTGTTAAAAAATAACTAATGTGTTCATTAATTAATGACTAAAAACAATACTTTAATAGTCACGTGTAATATTGATAATTAGATATGTTAGTTTTTTTTGTATGAAATGACTAATTTGAGTCAAATTGATAAATAATGATGGCTAAATTGAGGGTTTCTATAATAATTTAAGAATTAAATTAAATTTTTTTTTAATTTAAAGATAAAATAAAAGGTCCATACAATAGTTTAA